GTGTTACATTTGGGGGCTCAACCGTACACATCTGATATATAAAAAAAACCCAACGTTTGCAAACGTCGCTATATTTATGAGCAGAAGTTAATGAGTTCGATTGAACACGCAGAACTGAAGCCAGTTACCGATATATCGAATCCGCCTACGACAGAAGGGCAATCAAGGTCAAAGTATAACACTAGATCATCGCAGAGAAGTGCAAAAATGCCCGAAACGGACAATGAGCAACCGAAAGGTCTAGCGGAGGCCACTGGAAGTCAAATAGGAAGGCAGAGTAAGGAGAAAATTGAGAGTACAGCAGAAAAGCAGAACAGAAAAAGTGCAGAAAAAATAGCGGAAAATAACCAAATGCTTCAGCAGTTAGTTCAATTGTTAACCCTAAAAATACAAGCTGACGAAGTAAGACAAAACAACACGAGAATAGTGGCGGAAGATTTTGCGAAGATTATTCCGGAGTTTGATGGTCATAACATGCCGGTAAAGCAATGGTTCAACAATTTCGAGATCAATGCGGCGGCATATGGTCTGGACACAAAACAAAAGTATGTCCAAGCACGCGCGAAAATGACCCGCACCGCTAAACTTTTTTGGAAGGAACATTTGTGTATGAATACGCTGAACTTCGTAAGCTGTTGGAGGAAGAATTCGAACGTGAATTTGTATGCAGCGCAGATATACACGAACAGCTGCGTGGACGGAAGAAACATGAAGACGAGAGTTTCCGTGAGTATATTCTGCAGATGAAGAAAATCGCATCTCTTGGCGTAGTTGATACTGCATCAGTAGTTCGTTACATTGTTGACGGACTAAACTTAAAAACTGATTTTAAGTACAAGCTGTATGGCTGCAAAACCTACAAAGAACTGCAAGAAAGTTATGATGTTTACGAACGTGTTGCTGAAAGCGGAACCGGTGAAAAAGCTGAGAAGCAGAAACAAGCATTTAAGAAAAGTTGGCAAATGCAGGCAAATAACGAAAGAAGGCAGCACTGCTATAATTGTGGATCGGTAGACCATTTACGCAAAGATTGCAAAGTGGGTACAAAATGTTTTCGCTGCAATCAGAGTGGCCATATGTCAAGAAGTTGTCCGAATTCAGCGGCTAATGTCAGAATAGTGCAAAACTCAAAACGCCTGAAGAAGATTAAAATTAACAACGTGGAGGTAAACTGCTTGGTTGACACGGGCGCAGACGTCTCGATCCTAAGACGACGTAATTGCAGCAAAATGAACATAAGCGGCATACAGGGCAGCGCCTCCAACCTACGAGGGTTGGGTAATAAACTTATTCGACCTGTTGGCTGTTTTGTAGCAGACGTTGAAGTTGATGGTATGCAGACGTTACAAAAATTTGTTGTGGTGGCCGACAGAGATATTGAGTACGACGCATTATTGGGTTACGACTTTATTAGCAAATTTAATTTCATATCGACGTTGGGCGGATATAAGTTTTTGCCGCTGCTGGGGGAAGAAACTTTCGACAACACAAATCAGCTAAGTATATATAATGTAGTAGAAACATATAATGATTTTGATGTACCCCTACAGTACAAGCAAGATGTGCGCCTAATGATTGAGAGCTACCAACCGGCCGAAGTTACTGCCGAGTGCCCAGTAAAATTAAAGATAATACCCGACGGAAACATTGTACCATTTCGACATTCGCCAAGTCGCCTTCCTGTGACCGAAGCCGAAGCAGTAAAGCAGCAGATCGACGAGTGGCTGGACGCAGACATTGTACGGCAGTCCACCTCAAATTTCGCCAACCGTATCGTTGTGGTGAAGAAAAAAGATGCCACCTATAGGATCTGCATTGATTTTCGCAAACTAAATACGATGGTACTGAAAGACTGTTTCCCGGTACCGGTAATGGATGACGTGCTCGAAAAGCTACAGAAAGCGAAGTATTTCACTGTAATGGATTTGGAAAACGGCTTTTTCCACGTCCCAATTGAGGAAAGTAGCCGCAAGTTTACCGCTTTTATTACGAAGGATGGACTTTTTGAGTTCAATCGCGCTCCGTTCG